CTTGCACTCCCGACTTCGCCTTCCTCCGCCAACGTTTCCTCGCCTGCGCTACGTGACAATGTGTGCAAGCCGCAAGAGATTCGACCCCCGGCACTGTTCGATGAACCAAGAGTGGTCTATATCAAGTTTCCCGAAAGGTAATTTGGGCTGACACCAGAATTAAGTGACGTAGAGCTCATACTACAATTTGGAGAGCTCATGGAAGTTTGCGGCTCTAATTTGTCAAGATAGCCGTGGTGCAATCATCGCTCATAAACTGGCGCATTTTACCACCTATGGACTGACGCCATCTTGCTCTTTATCCCTATTAGAGAAGACAGGATTTTGTTGCAAAAACAATTTAAATTTTGATTTCGAAGTGAGAAACCTTAGCTTCTACGCTGGAGTCGCTCGTATTAAAGTTGCTACTTCGCGTTTCCGATAGTGTTACTACCTTTAACATTAATACTACACAACCAAATGTACAACAATTGTTATCTCGAAATTGCAACCGTTTCCCTTGGTTATTCGATGACGTTGTTATACTAAACAGAGGCCACACAAGTGCAGAACCAATAGTCGAAGCATATATGTTGGTGTCAAGCTCCATGCGCGTGACGATGTGAATTATTCCTTCTCGGACTTAAATACTATCAAGAGGTTGCAGTACCCGATGTCAATTTGATTATAATGAACAGCAGCTTGACAACAATTTCCTTTACTCGCTCGCACATACACGGACAAAGAAGAGAAGACATTGGCACTCAAGTATATCGAAGACAATGTGAAGCATAATGAATCAATTCCCTTGTTCTGTCGCGAGTTCTGTTGACGTCGAAGTATTGTAACAGCACGTGATACGGCATACGCTCGTCATGACCATCTTGTTGAGCTATTTGTACGCGAGCATATTCTACCTAGTTAACGAGATTGTAGCTTAACTAATTGTCCTTAACGTTTTCCTGTTTGAAATTTCATATCAGCACGTAAAGCAGTTTCATCTCATCCCGTCTTTTCCATTCGTTTGTTCTTGCAAGTCCAGTGATTCAAGTCGCATTAGGCTTTGCTTAGTGAGTATATTGAATGTTTGGTGTGAGCTTTCCTCCTCTTTAAGGTAACAATGACATACGAACACATTTTAAAATGTTGCAAATAGTTTCCATTTACTGTCTTAATTAGCCATCGTAACTTTCTTACTTTCTTCGATTCTACTGTCATAATTGTTTTAATTTTTTCAAAATCTAATCTATCCGTCCAGTTTATCGTTTGTACTCGTCTTTCGTTGGTCAAGTCATCTCCTATTACAACCTTAGCGCGGTTACAAATTCGTGATTTGGCATGCAATGCATCATCTTGTATCCTTCTCGGGACCTAATACTTTTGTCGCAGCATTTCTCCCCCGTCATATCTTTCCTCAAGATCTTTCTTGATGCCGACGTAGTCATTAACAAAACTTTCACGTTAATTTCAAATTTGTTTGTTTCTCCCACTTTTCAAATGATAATTTTGATGCGGTTAATGTTAAATTTCTATAGATGCAATTATTGCTAACAAATGGGTAATTGTCGACTAGGAAGTTTCGAGACAGAAATGACTACCCGCTGCATCACTTTGAGACCTCTAAACACCAAGACAACAAGTGGCGTTCGAGTAGACGTACGTTAAGTTTAATTACTAAACGTAGACTTCAAGTTTAAATCTGATGAGAAAAAAATCTTCGCAAGACTCATAAATAAATGCATATCATTATCTGAAGATTATCGACGGTGGTGGCACTGAAATAGGATCAACTTGTTAATTTGAACGAAAAGAAAAACATTCTCATCGGTACGTGACGTGTTCGGCGATCATGTCAAGCAGTTTAATCCTCTTTCTGCAATTCTTCCACATACGCATGGTCAAGGGGACGCACTTGCCGGACACGACCGTTTTCATGGCACAACGGTCGTTAAGCTTTTCAGGAATCAATACTGGTGGAATGACCATATGACGCATATGACTTAAACTGAATCGTGTGAGCTTCGTTGGGTGTGACGTCAGGATATTTTGCTTTAGTGCACGTACATCCTCGGGCAATTCAATGGATAACGGACGGGAGAGACGACAGCGAATTCTTGAGCGCTTCGAAGGTCGGTGAACTCGGGGTTGTAACCAGTCGTCGCGTGGCAATAAGTCTCGCTGTACAGATATGCCCATGATACCTCGTACGTCCAGTACCACTGATATTGGTAAATGTCGAGTCTGAACGTGACGAGACAAACCTAAAGAGCTGGCGACCGATGGATCACCCGCACGTATAAAACTGTATACCTCACTAAAACAAAGGATCAGCAACAGAAAGTGGACACCATTTGTATGCTGCACATTTCGTTTACGTCTGTCACATTTTGTGGTAGGCTTAAAATGAGTCAAACCAGAACTGGATATGCGCAAGATTCTTGGATAACAGATGTAAAAGCTAGATATTGACCATTGATATTAACAGGATATATATTGACCATTGATAATTACAAAGAGTGCGATATGTGCGGAGACCAGGAAATGATCTTGTCCAACGTGCTTTTTACTTTTGCGACTACTTTTATATAGAAAGTCCTTACACCTTGACGCCTGTTTAACGAATGCAGACTAGCAAGAATTGTGCAACATCAGATATGACAAAAGCTTTGTCAGAAATAGGACGCCGTGAGTCCTGTGTGTTTTGCAGCATAGTTGACCCACAAAATTGCACTCAACAATCATTTAAGCTATAATTTCTCTATACCACCATGTGTATAGTCAGAGTGGATCACAAAAACTCGAGTACCACAAGAAACTTGTCCAATTTCCACGTCTGAAGAAAACGTATCCAGTAAAAAATTGCACGGAATAGTTAGGTCCAGACTTCGAAAAAATCAGTTGCACACGGAATTTTTGAATCGAGATTAGAGCTTTGTTCAAATAGAATAGACCAGCACAGCAAGTAGGTCAGAGAATTTGTTTTTGGAAAGCGTCTGGACTCTAAGTGACAACATTTTGTGATTTGTATTGGAAAGAAACCGGTACGGTAAAAAGCACCATGGACTCCGTCCATACTTCTTCAGAAGTTTGTATGACAGATTACGAACTTCTGGTCATCATTTCCAAGTGAATTGTAACTTTTCAACTTAAAAAATATTCTAGATTTGATCACGATAAGCAGTTTAACTAGTACTTACGTGATCATCTGTGGAAATCGTTTTGACGTGACAAGAAGATTCAGAAAGTTAGCTTATATATTTGCTTTTAATGCTGTAATGTGGCCATCACATTATACAAAACGATTATGATGTCAAGATACATTGATACGTTCATTTTCAAAATATGTTTTCAATACAAGATTTGGTGAGTATTTAAAAGCAAAGGAGACCGGTAGAGGGTGCAGCGAAGCGAATTCGACTCGGAGATTTGTTTCATGTGGTGTGTCCTACGTTTTGTGTTGTTCCACATGCAGCGTGTGAGCGGGACTCTGCGACCAGCTACGATCGTAGACAACGCGTGTTGGTTGTTTAATTCATCGGGAATCTCGACAGGAGGTTCCACGCGCTTCTTCATGTAAGTCATACTAAAGCGCATAAGTTTGGTCTTGTGTGTGCGCAGAATCTTCTCCTTTAGTTCTTGAGCTTCTTTCGGCAACATTTCCGTACATGCATTGTGGTGACGGTGCCAGGAATGCTTGCCGATGTGAGACTTTGTCAGCTGCTCCTTCACGTGCAACTGGCTATGCTGGGGCTGTATGCACATTGTGATGAGTGGCGTATTGAGATGTGATTGGATTGCTAGCGTTTATTAGCTGAGTCAGTAGACTAAAAAATGACGCAGCAGCTTATAGATCGCCCATGAGCCATTAGAGCTTTGACGCTGCAGAAAAATGCGGAGCAGATAACACAATTCGAGCTTGAAAAAATGCTAAAATTTTCGTACGGTATGTTTAAATTCAACATGACGGGAGCCAGAACTCGCGATTTTTTATACGCGTCGACTGTCGCAAAATCTTTGAACTGTCCACTGCACAAACTCATTATTTCAAATTTGACAGTAGAATTGTGCACATTCAACAGATTTATCACGCTTGATTACATGATGTTAGTTGTAAAGCATACTACCATGCGAGGTGAAAGATTACTATGAGGGATAGCCACAATAGACGATAAAAAAAAATTATTTGTCGCAATGGCATTTGCTTCAGATGACTCGTGTGATCATTCATAATCGCATGATCGCTAAAGGAAGACTTTACCAAAAGCAGTTTGTTCAGCATGATGTGTCAAAGCAACATAAGGTCAAAGTTACGATCACGCGCATCACTGCAGCCAATATGATAGGTTGTTTATGTAGGTGAGAAAGAATTTTAATGATTGGCAAAGGCATGTGA